GGAGTTGTCAGTCAGGATTGAAGAACAAAACAATTTTGCATTGAAATCCTTGAAGAGAGAGAGACCAAGAATAAAACAATTCTAAGGGATCATTTGAGAGAAGTTAAGGACTAAATTTCTGTGGGTAGAAATTAAGAAAGGACACTGAAAAAAGAGCCATTGGAATGACAAGAACCAGGACAATGTGCTGTGAATAAACCATAGAGGACAGACTGGTAATGGGCAACAGTGTCAAATTCTAGAATGGGAAGGAAATGGAGTGTAAGGCATCTAATTTAGACACAGTATAGCAGAATAGTTGGGGGTTCTGGAATCAGATTCTCTTGTTTTAAATCTTGTCTCCCCACTTGTTGGCTGTGTGTTCCCAGAAAGACACTCAACCTCACTATAAGTGCTTGGTTCCTCATCTACAAAGTAGAATAACAATAATAGCATTTAAGGTTAAGAAAGATGTACATTAAAGTACAGGATCTAGCATATGCCAGGTATTCAGCAACTATGAACTTCCTTGCCACCCCCCCATCAGTAAAAGTTAGACCTCCTCTGTCTCCCACACAGATTTTTTTTCTGAATTTTTTTCTATCATCTACATACTTTTCTCCTGAGCTCTGGATCACACCACTTAGCTCTTTGAGAAGAAACTCCAGCTCCATCTCAGAATGAACTCCTCTTTCTCTTTACTGCCTTCCTTCTGCTGCAACCTCCACTACATTCCCGTCCTTCTGAATCCACTTTCTCCGTTATTGACATTGACATCCTTGGAATCACCAAAATGGGTGAAGCGATAACTAATTCATCCTAGAATAGGTTCAGTAGAAGTTTGGAGTTGGTCACACCTACGTGCAAATTTTAGCTCTGCAACTTACTATCTCCATATTCCTAAGCAAGTTAATATGTCTGGCACTTTGTCCTCTCATCTGTTGGATGAGGGTGAACATTCTTAGGAGGTAATGTTTGTGAAGGATTCTGGGTGTGCAGGAACTGGTAGTTCTTACTCTTATAGCCCTCCTTCTTCTCCCTTATCCACCCCCCCACCCGTCTCCACTTCCTCTACTGCTTACCTCCGCTTCCCTAGCCCATCCAGGTATACATACTCCGAAGCATGTCTTGCTGCTTCTCTGCATCCCCATGCCACCAAGATTGTTGAGGCCCAGATAGATCATTTTTCATAATGGTCACCCTGCCCCTCTGGCAGTTGTGTCCAGTCTGTCCATTGCCAGGGGCGTTGTCCAGATAGATGTGGTCAGTGATTCTCCCCAATGAACTTATATAGTTCATTGTTGTCTCTTTGTCTCTAAGGATAATTCTTAGCAGGATGATATATATGTTCTCTATTTAGGTTCTTCCTGGTTTCTGCCCCACCTCCTATCACTCATTATTCCTTTCCCTCAAGTCTACTCTATAGCCTTCACAATTCCATGGAAGTTCTCAAGCATGCCCTTCTGCTTTAGGCGTCTGCCCTGTCCCTGTGTACTTTTCGTTGCCTACTAAATCTCCTCAGCCACCTCTATCTTTACCTGTCACTCTCCTTTTTCAAAGCCTAATTCAGGCAATTTCCTCCTCTCCTATCAACGTTGATTCCTCTCTTTTACTGTCTTAACTTCTAGCTCTGTGGTAAGTAATTTTTGTTTCGAGGATTCAGATGATTGCCCCAAAAGCTTTTCTCTATATTAGACATAGTCAGGTGGAGAGAATAGGAAGGGTCCACGTAGCCTGGACTCTGTAGTAGTTTCTTCTATTCTGTAGCAGCCCTACACACGCACACGATCCAATGAGCTCCTGGAGGGCACTGGCTGCCTTGTTCATCCTTGTTCTTCAGATATCGATGTGTTTAACTAATATAAACTTTGCCAGAAAAGTCTTCCCAGATGTTGAATAACAGAATTGAGTAGTTCTAGTGACTGCAGTGAAACAGGCCAAAGTTATGTTGGAACATTAACAAGAGTAGCTTATGGCCCAGCTGCTATATATAACAATACTATCTTATTCCCAACCTAGGTCTGAGAAACATCTTGCCTATTACAACAGCAAAGGTACCAATTGTAAAGTTTTTCCATTTGAGAAGTGGTTTGGAAGTGGACATCAGTTTGTATAACACACTGGTAAGATTTTCTCTAGGCTTTTTCTTTAGGGAGATCGAGGGGAATGAATGTCTCTTAATTTACAAAATCTCAAGTGGAATTAAGCCATTTATTTTTATCTTATTCATTCTTTTAATCATTATTTAGGAGAGCTTGCTGTGTGCCTGGCAGTGTTCTGAGACTGGGGATATAACAGAGAGTTGTTAGTATTTATTTAAAATGAGGTCAGAGTGGCAGGTGCTTTTAGTTTGGCTTGAAATTTTTTTTTTTTTAAGATTTTATTTATTTGAGAGAGAGAGTTCATTTTGGAGTGTCTGTCTGTCTTTGGTCTCATACTTGGTTTGCTTTGGGGCTTTATGGACCTTCTCTGGACCCTGGGGGCATTCAGTTTAAATAATGCCAGGGTGAGGTGGGGGACTCTTAGCATCTGCTTAGACAGAACTATCTTAATAGCCCTTATTTCTAGGAATATTCAGACTAAGGACATATTAACATAATGGAAGTTGTGAGCTCAGATGTCATTTATAATTCTTATTATCTAGTAAGTTAATGAAGCTCAGTTTTGGAGAAAAAAATATTACTTTCAGTCTAAATGTGTTCAACCTAAAGTGAATTACAGTGTAAACCTTTTCAGAATATTCCAGCCTAAAACTTTTTCTTCTAATTGATCCCTTATAGTGTAATTTTCCTTTTAACAGGCCCTTCATAACACAAGGCTCCTATCTGCTTATTCAGCCATTGATCCCAGAGTGAAATATTTATGCTATACCATGAAAGTATTTACAAAGGTGAGTATACTTCCTGTTGGGATTCATCAGGAAATTTCACTGCATCTTCAAACCTAGTTGAAAACATAAGTCTATATTTTTTAAAGAACCATGGCCATGTTAAATGCTTCCTTTAACTACTTTGGGAAGCCTGCCATGGCAAGCTAAAATTTTGTCCTCTTAAATTTTACATATGATAATCTGATCTTGCTTGTGACTGATGGTTGGGTTTTTCTTTTGTTTTTGACATCCTTTTGGTTGGTCTTATTTGTTTTTGTTGGTATATTTTAGCATTTGAAGGTGTTATTTTTACATTAATGCCCTATAGAAGCACCTAACTTTTAGTGATAATAGGGTAGCTGCAAATTTAGCAGAAAACATTGGTGATCTTTCCTTTGTTCCTCATTTTCCTTTCCTCTAGATGTGTGATATTGGTGATGCATCTAGAGGCAGCTTATCATCATACGCATACACACTTATGGTGCTATATTTTCTCCAGCAGAGGAATCCACCAGTCATTCCTGTCCTTCAAGAGGTATTAGTAAAAGAAATTGTGTTGCTCATCTGTAAAGCTGGGTTGCCTTTGAGCCCTCTTCCTTCTCTAATATCTGTGGTTCTGTAGTTAAATATTTAACTATTTTCCTACGAGTTTTTGTATCAATGCATTAAATTTGTAATCCATACTAATAGTTTAAAAATTAATTTCAGATATACAAAGGTGAAAAGAAACCTGAAATATTTGTTGATGGCTGGAATATTTATTTTTTTGATCAAATAGATGAACTGGTACGTATTTTAAGAGTAAAGATTTTTTTACATCCTTGACTAAAAGTTAGCTGTACTATGCTGTGATGTAGTGGAACAACTATATTATCACCTGTTATATTTATTTATATTATGATAGTAAAACACTAGCATATACAGATGTTCCCTCTGAAGTTGAAAACACTTTTATTAAGCCAGGTGAGTTTCCAGGGACTGTATCTAGGATTTCTTTAATGCCTGTCAATTCCAAATGGTTGTGTAACTTTATTCCAAGTGAACAAATATTTGCCAAGTGATTTTCAGAGTTTGGAAAGGCTTTCTTTGAGTTCAAAGATCTAATAACCCAGGCATCATCAAGGCTCTTAAATTTATTTCCAGATTCTTCCACAAACATGCATTCTGGAGTTTGACATTTAAAACCCTGAGCTCTCCCTATCTCGAAGTCACAGGGTAGAGATTAATAAACTCATATAAATGGTATTTTTAAATGTGAAAGAAAAGTTATGTTATTATGTTTTTATTTAAATTCCAGTTAATTAAAATAAGTCCAAACTTACTCCCTAAGATACAAATGAAGATAGATATTAACACTTTACTATAGAGCATGATATCTCTTGTTCCCTTCTATTTCTAGCCCATCTATTGGCCAGAATATGGGAAAAATACAGAATCTGTTGGGCAGCTGTGGTTGGGACTTCTTCGATTCTACACAGAGGAATTTGATTTTAAAGAACATGTTATTAGCATCAGGAGAAAAAGTCTGCTTACAACTTTTAAGAAACAGTGGACTTCAAAATACATTGTTATTGAAGGTACAAATAAAATGAAACTTAAAATGGAATAGAATATAGAGTTTGAACTTTGAGGGCATTGTTTTTCATCCCTGCAGAGCTCTTGCAGAACGGCAAGGAGCCACTGGTTGGGATGGGCGGCACAGCCTTCCACAGCAGCACACTTGTCTCTTTCCAGCATAAAGATGTATTTTTAAGTGACCCACGTCCTCCTGTGGGGCCTCTCACCAATTCAGAAGTCTTTTGACCAGGACACATCTTTGGCTTTTGTTGAACACGTACTGGAGAATAAGTTTGCAATAGAGATAAGGCAGCTTCAAAAGAGCAGGACTTTTAACACCTTCCAAATTGAGGGTTTGAAGAAAGGGCACTAAGAATAAATTTTCAAGATCCTTACTTGCTATTTATTCATGAAGGAGTTTACCTATAAGTAATTATATATAAATTTTGACATTTCTTTTGCCCACGCTGCAGCCTTTTCTTCCATTGAATGCAAGGATCCATGGGCCATATATGTTTGTAGTTGATTGTTTATTTGCAATTTGTGGGATTTTAATTTTAGTGACAAAATGGTGTTTAAATGCTGAAAACTGAACTGAGAAATGGCTTAAGTAATATTTTATTGATTTTAATCTTTTTAATTTTTTTAATATTCTAATTAGTTAAATTATGTGTGTTACTCTAGGTTATGTTTCCATCATTACTTCTGCCTGTTGGCAGTATTAATACTGTGAACATTTGTAAAATTAAATTCAGATCACTGTGGCTTTAGATAGGGTTTTAACTTTTTTTAGTATATGTGCTGCCGAAGCAAGCACGGGTTTTAACTTTTTAGGATCTCATGTCAAAAACATAGAACTTTGTCTTAAACCTTTCCATTATCACAGTGGATTCGTATGGTCTCCAGTTGTTCATATTTTGTTTTTAATTTTTGAAGTTTCTTTATCTTTTTACATCTCATTTTTACATTACTTTCAGATGAACCATTAGTAATAGGCTAAATCAGAAAGAACACTTTTAACCAGCTATTCTAGAATGGAGGAATTTTAGGGGTGGTGGCGGCAGCAGTGTTTATTAACTATCCAATAGCTTAATATCATAGTGTCTCTGCTGCATTAAGCAAACAACCAAAAATACTTCCACATAGACACATGTGAAAGTCACCAGAAGAAAGCATGATCAAACCTACTAGGAAGGTAACCTCCTAATAGCGGTTATTAGTGTAGGATCATACTGAGCGAAGGCTCCTATACTCCAGGAACCTGTTAGTGAGTCTGAATCCCGAATGGTGTGCCCCAGTTATTGTACATTAAAAAGCATAACAGACAACCAGAAGGATGCCTCTTTTTACTTATGTACTCCATCTGTATATACTGTACACAAGCAGTCTTCTACTTTCTTGATCCCCAAAAAGGGTTTTGGGGGTTTTTTACTTTGCTCTTCTTCAATGTTTTTAGGCATTTATTGGAAATAAATATCTACACATAATATTCAAAGTATGAATTACTATGTATGTATATTAAATCATGTATAAAATAGTATTTTAATTTAGAAATAGTACCTTACCTCCATTTATTTCATGAACAAGTTTTATTTAGATCTCGAATAAATCTTTGACATCAGCATTTTTTTTTCTTCATTCCTACCACTTTCTGGGTCATCTAATAAATAATATTGCAGAACACAACATATATATATACCTAAGACTTTGAGATGCAGACCTTTAACATCATATGGGAGTCCTTTATGAAGCTTTCACTAAAAACTGAGGTCAAGTAGCCTTTGGGACAGGTGTGTGTGTGTCTTAATTTGTCTTATAAGTGTGTTTTATGATCTCTAGGATGACTAAAGTGACCTTTAAAACACTTGGTAGTTAGAAGGAACATCCAATACTAAAATGTTCTAAATATATTTTAACCTTCTTTATGCTTCCCAAACTAGCACCATTAGATAATACTCGCCTAATATGTCCTCTCCAAACAATATTTTGTTGTTCAAATGAAGCAACTCCTCATAATAGGAAGGAGTCGATACAGATTCAAATATAAAGTAACATCCTCTCTTCTGATGGACACTTTGGATAAAACACTTGACTTATATTTAGGAATCTATATTATGTAGCTGTATTACACATTTAAAACTCATTAAAAAGGCAGTCATTTAATACAGTTAACCCTTGAACAACAAGAGGTTGAACTGCACAGGTCCACTTACATGTGAATTTTTTTCAATAAATACAGTACAGTAAATGTATTTTATAATTTTCTTAACGTTTTCTTTAGCTTACTTTATTATAAAAATGCAGTATACGATACATATACAAAATATGTATTAATCACCTATGTTATAGGTAAGGCTTCTGGTCAGTGATAGGCTGTTAGTAGTTAAGTTTTGGGGAACTCAAAAGATATGTGTGGATTTTTGACTGTGGGGGGGTTGGTGCTTCTGTCCCCTACGTTGTTCAAGGGGCAACTGTACTTTCGTTAATGATAAAGTATGTAACACTTTCTTCTTCTTATATACTCAACTTAATGTATGAATAGTGGCATTTCCTATTTCATTATCTTTTTTGTTCTCATTAATTTTCTTTACTTAGATCCCTTTGATTTGAATCATAATCTTGGAGCTGGATTATCAAGGAAAAGTAAGTTGCTTTGTTTTATAAATGTTAATGCAATCCTTTTACTTTTAGTCCATCTAATTGAGCACTTACTCTTTTCTTCTTAGTGACGAATTTTATAATGAAAGCATTTATTAATGGTAGAAGAGTATTTGGTATTCCAGTCAAAGGATTTCCAAAGGACTGCCCCTCAAAAATGGTAAGTGTCTATTAGAAATACCAAAAAAACAAAAAAAGGTGCTTTATTAATTTGTACATAACACACTGGTAATACATACCCTGAAAGTCTGGTGAGTCTAGCCAAGATAAACAATTGCAAGACAAAGTAATTCCTAACAACCTTTTTTTCAGCATCCCAGTTCTGAGGCCATTTTTATCAGGAGAAAAGGGAGAAACAGCCAGAAGTGGGATTTGGCTGGGAAGATTAGTCATTGTGGTGCTGCCGCTTTGCCTTGGTAACGCATGTAGATGGCATTGCTGTTCCACCGGCATTCAGCTCCAGGCCAGCCTCTGCCAAGTCCAGCTTGTACATAGCTAAGGGTCCTCCACCCTCCTCATATGAAGTCTAGATTTTTCAGTCGGCTTGCGGAGTAATACATTTCTTAATGGGACTAGGAGAGGGACCATGCTCCCCGTGCTAGCAAGCTCACTGGTGTCATATAACCCGATACTCAAAATTTGTATGGAACTGGACTCATTAAAAACAAAACAAAGTTGTACTATAAAAATTCCCTTCAGTGAGAGAAAAGGGAGTTAGGAACTAGAGGGTTTTCTGTTAAAGTTATTTCTTCCTACATTAACTTTCTTAATCAAGACTTTTTAAATGAAACTTAAGTGTATGGGTGTACATTCAGCATTGGTTCACATCTGTGCATCTAGTTTTTGCTGGATATGCTATGGCTGTCTTCTACACCAAGACTTCTGAAATTTGTTCCTACAGATCACCTTGGGGATTTTGTTAAAATGCAGATCTGATTGAGGAGCTCGGGATGGGGACCAAAACTTGCATTTCTTACAGGCTCCCAGGTGGTGCTGATACTTCTGGTCCTCACCTTGATTTCACTGGCAAGGAGGCTTTAGTCCAGACATTCTCTTTCCTTTCTTCTGATATTTTTCTCCAGAAGCCACAACAAAAAGAATAACACATAGCTTCTTTCTTTTTCTCTGCATATGTAATGCAAATCATATTCCTCAGTTTATTGGGTTTCAGCCTTTTCATTTTATGAGAAAGCGAAGCCTTTGAACCTGACCTCAGCCTCCCCCAAGTCCTGGGGAAGCTGACTCATGGGTATGTGTGTACTTCTCTTGTGTAGAAGTATCCTGGAAAAACAGGCTCCCTTTGTGGTTAGGGTTAAACCGTGGTCTGCATGATGAAAAGGAATAAACCAACATGAATTTCGGTAAAACTATCCTGAAGTAAACCTCTTAATGGTCATAAATTTTGGAATTCAATAGTATAATAGTCATTAAAAAGAAGGTCTCTGATTGCTATCTGGTTGGTTTTTGTGTTTTGATCTCACATTAATAATTCATACTTTTCTGTATTTATGTTCTGCTAGGAGTACTTTTTTGATCCAGAAGTGCTAACTGAAGGAGAGCTGGCCCCAAATGATAGATGTTGCCGAATTTGTGGGAAAATTGGACACTTCATGAAGGACTGTCCTATGAGGAGAAAGTAAGTCAGTGTTCCAAAGGGGTGGTTTCATTTTTACTCTCTTATTGTACCAGTTTTTAAGTGAGGTTCTATTGTAACAGAAAATAAACTTGTATTAAATCCAGCAGTTCTCAGATAAATGATTTTTTACAATGAAAATGAAGTGATTTAAAACATGCATTTAAGTGCAGATGACCAGATGTCCCTCGGGTGTACAGATAACAGTCTTCCAGGCCTGCTCCCCTTTCCTCATTTTGGTCACTGCCCCAGTTGCTACTCAGCCATTTGGTCACCAGCCTCTCCAACAGGGATGGAAGAAGAAACGAGCAAAGTAAAATGGGCTCTTCAGGACATCAGTTATACATCCAGTATATAGGAATGGGGCTGTACCAGACTCATGTACAGTTTATTGCTAGATAGAACCCTTCACTTGTACACAGTTCAACCCTTAATGATTGCTGTGGTGACCCCCTCACTTCGGTCAGCATGCTTGCTTCTGGTGATGTTTGCGGGAGGTGGGGCTGGGGGACAGTGCTGGTTGCTTGCTGGTGTGGTGGTCTTAATTGAACAATAATACTCTCATTTAAAAATATGCTTTTTAAATAAGGCACCATCTGGAATTTGAAGCTCTTATTTAGTACTTTAGTTTTGTATTCAAATAATAGTCACTGATCGTGTAGAGCAAGAAAGAAACATTTTCAACATTTTAAGAATATAAATCCCCTTACAATCCTTGTTCCCTTGTGAACTAAAGGTTCCACGTCTCAAATTTCTAGTGCCTAGTAAAGAATGGGCCACAAGAATTGCAAGAAATCACCCCAAGGATCATTGGAGTTTCATTACATCCATATCACAGTAGGTGGACCAAGGAGTTCCACTAACTGCAAACACTGCTTTTATGGCACTAGAGTAGTTGTGAAAATCAAAAAGAAAAACTATACCATCGCCCTGAGGTTGCTTCTTGAAAGAGGAGACGGACTTAAATTTGTTAAATTCTTTGATACTTTCTACCTCTGGTTATCTCCCAGACCTGGAGCGCCCTTAATATCTTGTCAGGTTTCTGTTTAGATTTTTCCTACCGGTGTTATATCATCTTCTAGAGTGAGGCGACGGCGTGATCAGGAAGATACCCTGAACCAAAGATACCCTGAGAACAAAGAGAAGAGAAGCAAAGAGGACAAAGAAATTCAGAACAAGTACACAGAGAGGGAGGTGTCGACAAAAGAAGATAAGCCCATGCAGTGCACACCTCAGAAAGCCAAGCCATTGAGGGCAGCTGTCGACCTGGGCAGAGAGAAAATTCTCAGGCCACCGGTGGAAAAATGGAAGAGACA